TGAAAAAGATGTCACGGAAACATAGCAGGGATGAAGGAGGGCATTGTAATAGCTCAGGGCATGACAAGGGAACATGGGGACGCTGCATGCATCCTATGAAGATATCATGAGGCTTATACGCAGATAGATTGGGGATAAACTATGTGGTGGCTTCTGGGCAAGCATTTTATCAAGAGCGAATGTCAATTCAAGTAATCACTGTGGACTGTAATTATGTTATTGCCTAATTATGCATGATGGATTTTCCACCTGCAATACGTAAACAGGACATGCGGTGGCATTGCACTCTGCTGCAAGAATACAAGAAATCCCCCGCAACAAAAATTCAACAGTTTTGCAGCCCCACAAATGCTTGATTCAATTTTCGGAGCTGAGGTGCATAAGGGTAGGCAATGCCCTTAAGGATTGCCGTAGCGAAGGCCATGCCTGTCGTTGCCACACTGTCAACCCCAGAGGATTATATAGGGGAATATAATAGGGGCTGTGAAGGGGGATACTAGGAGTTTAGACTATGGCTCATGCAGCTTGTCTCAGCCAGATTTTGGGCTGCTCATGGGATTGCAGGAATTTGGGCATGCTAGACTTGCGTTTTCGATTTGCACCTGATCTTCAGGATATCTGCCAGCTAGGAAATTGCACGTTTCTTGGAGACCGTCTAATCCCGAACATGCATCACGCTTTGCAGCGTCGCACATCGGTGGAACAAGGACCGCAGAAGGGAACTCTTTTCTGCATCCGGGCTCTGCAGTTCACTTGATGCAAGAGGCGGCCATCCAAAAATCCAGACCCTCAACCCCAAACCCTTAAACCCTTCTGAACTTTGCAAATGGCAACCTGCAGTGCAGCCTGCGAAAAGTACTGCGAAGATTATCTGAACGATAGCTGGCCTTGGCTGCAGGCTCAGGCACTTAGCATCATAAAAACAAGAACAAATGGAACACCAGCAATAATAGCAGTGCTAACAATCATGAGAAGGATAGTAATGCGAGTAAGGCTTGGGGGCATATTCTACAGTAACGCTCAATGGTAGTCTTCACAGTAAATCGTGAATCAAATTGTCAATCAAGTGGAAGATGGAATGGACATCAAGATTGTGCTGGGTTTAAGTGGACTATATGTTGGGGCCTACACGATCAGAGTGGGTTGCAGATGCACATGCTGCTTAAATGCTAGGTATTGCGTCAGGATTGGAGAGGGATGGTCTGAAATATGGTTGGCCTTGGCTATAGTCATCGAATCGAATGAAGAATCACATGGAAAATGAAATGGAAACTGGGATTTTGACATGCGGCTTTATACGGTGGGGGACCATATTTTTGGCGACATATTCCACTATGGTTACCAAGAAGGGCAAGCGAGCACTATACCCTAAACCCTGCAATGCAGGCTTCTATATTTCCCTCACAATGACTGGGATGGGGCGATTAGCCGCCTAAGCCACCTTTGACCCGACAGTAATCCCCCTAACCTCCTCCACTAATGAAACCCCATCCCACTTATAACAGATGTTCTGAGCATAGTGCTATACGCCAGCATGATAATCAGGTTTTAATGGATGTGATTAGCAAAAAATGAGCGTGCCCGTCAAGGTGCCACGATGCCCTAGTGGCCCTGGTGTGAATCCTCATAACAGAAGCAGCCTTTGTTGTGTAATCTGATGGGAAGAACTCATCTCTGGGGCTGCAGCATCTGCCAAGACTATGAGTGTGCCCAGTAGTCAGTCTGGCCTTTTGTTTCGCATCTGCAAAGACGAAAAGTAGTTCCGTATACGGCATCCTGGCTGTGGTACCTGGACCCCTGTCTGGGTAGGTGCGATAGATGTGGCTAAGTGATGTGTTGGTCTTCTCCCTGCCGGCCAGAAACAGCGGCTTGGATTGGTCTCTCGCCGTCTATGGCATTAAACTGGGATTCTTGTGGGCAAGTGGCATGAGGTAGAAGTCCAGGACAAAGAGTAAAGCCATTGTGAACGCCTCAGTGAGACGCGGCAGCGAACCCCAACTTTCCAGGGCATATGGGAGTTTCTCAAAAAGGGGGTACCCTAGGGACCCCAAGGGATATATAGGGATTACATGGGAATTATGGGGGTCCTTATTAGGGATTGTATAGGGATAATATTGAGAAATACCCATATGGACACGCGTTTATGAGCAAATCCGCGCAAGTCCACAACAGACCTGGAAGGGATCCCCCTAATCCCTGTGTCATCCCCATTATCCCTATATAACCCCAATATATTATAGTAGTTTACATTTTTATCCTTAGGGGTTATCCCTATATAACTCCAATATACTATAGTAGTTTCCATGTTTCCATTATTTATCCTTAGAGTCCAAAGGCCCCGATTCACATAGATCATATTTCTCCCTGTAGCCCCAAGGATGAGCCCAGTAGTTTCGATTTGCTTTTCCATGATCCTTATTTCTACTATCTTCATATTATTACCAAAATTATTATTCCTGCTCTTATTACTATGATTCTTCCCAACAACCTTCTATCTGGCCACATGCCAACATAGGCAAGACCAAGAAGCCGTGACGGCGGCTGCGCCATTCCCGGCCTGACCGGGGCTGAAAACCAGCGGGTTGAAGGGTTTAGGGTCGAGTTTAGGGTTTAGGGTAGAGTTCAGGGCAGAGTTTAGGGTTGATGGTTCAAGGGTTGAAGATTTTTTGTTTTTCTACTGCTGAAAAAGGCTTTAGGGAAGACTGTGCAGCAAAATGGCACTTCCCGTTTGGCCACTAGCATGGCGTGAAACAACAGTGCGAGGATGAATGAGGGGGTAGAGTCCGAAACCAGGGTAAAACCCTAAGCCCTAAACCCACTCCAGCACTGCAAGGAGATTGGCAAAAAAACGCAAGTCAGCAGTGAACCAAAATCAGGTTTCGGGTCTGGAGCTATATAGGGTTGATACAAGGAGCATGTTTGGTTATTATATGGATTCTATAGGCTTGATATAGTGTATATATGGGGCCACTATGGGGAGAGTCTCTTGATGATATGTTGGACCCTCTTGGTGATCTTTCATCTTTCAAGGATCCTCTGATTCTGGTGGGTACATTCGCGACCATGGCCTTAACACAGATTTTCATAGGGACATCAGGGAGTAGAGGGAACAATCTGATTACGTTGCATATCTCAAGTTTGCGTCTGTATGTGTTCAAGGCAGCTGGGGTGGAACAGCTGGACACCCCTGCCCTGAAATACAATAGAAGTCGTGATTCGGCTTTTCTTTTGTGGTTTAAATAAACTAGAGACCTCAACATCTCACGAACTGCACAGAACTGGCTCAAGGCAGCCCGCCCTGTTGAGAGTCTCATCGGCCACGGCGTTGAACACCTTGGCTTCGTGGTCTTGTCTTGGGTTTGAGAAAAGCTTGCACCTTGATTCATTGTGGACTGGGAAGAACCACCAGCCAGCAAAACAGCAGCAAAAGCCACACATGACCGCTACATGTCCTCGTATAGCCCCGATACATACCTGCACTGTATAATCCCAGATACTTTAGTAGTTTCCATCTCTTTTCCATGATCCCTATATAACCCCAATCTGCTATGGTAGTTTCCATTTTCTTTTCCATTATCCCTATATAACCCCAATCTACTATAGTAGTTTACATTTTCTTTTCCATTATCCCTATATAACCTCAATATAATACAATGTACTATCCCTGTATTTCCCTATATTATCCCTGTTAGNNGTAGTTTACATTTTCTTTTCCATTTTCCCTATATACCTCTGACTGGGAAAAAAGCTGAAACAAATCCTTGGAAGCTCTGCGGTCAGGCGGCCTTTGGAGCTATGCCGACCGACGTGAAGAGCACCTGGGATGTGGATGGAACACGGGGCTGGCAAAATCGGGTTTTGCAGAGGCTTGTTATAGGGAGTATATGGGGCTTAATTATGTAGGGCTATTATAGGGATTGTATATTATAAGGTTTTGGGGAGGGTTCTCAAGACAGGGTAGCCGCCATAGGTAGATGATACGAGAGTTACAGGGGCACCCCTGTGGGAATTGTGTGGAACTGGACCCTCGACTCCCAGGCACGGTGCTATCTCAAACCTTAGGACATTGGGAAGGCTCTGGCACTACACTACACACATTCTCTGCAACATGTACAAGCACAAGTGGCAAGCCACTACAGATTCTGAAGCCGAGAGGCAAGGCCTGCAGCAGTTGACAGCCATACACATGCGGCCGAGGCCACGAAGATTCTCTTGTAGTACATGTACTGGAGTTCCTCCGCAGCCAAGGCCCAGACGGAACGACACTAATGTTGCAGCAATGATGGCTCCTACGTTCTCCGGCCTTATATGTGTTGCTGCCAAACCGCCCGCGTGGTGACAGCGTGGAAAGGACTTATGGCGAACCGTCCATGCGCGCCGGTGAAGAACTCCAGAAACAAATGATGCTCCCTTAAGTAGTAACGGTTAAAGATGGAATGCTATCAGCTAGCAGTTGTGGATGCGCCCTGCGTCCCTGTCCAAACAACCCACAAGTGGCTTGAAAGTCATCCTTTAGTCAGGATTCGTGTATTTTTCAACGAGCCAGAAGTGACAACTTTGAGCCAGGACATGGCAGCGGGCATCTCACAAGTCCCTCTTGCTGCATCGAAGCTGGCGCGGTCTGCGGGTCCCTGGGCAACACCCCTAAGTCTGAGCAAGCTGACTTTTTCCCTCCGCCTTGCCACTTTAGGTCATGGCATCCAGCATCTTGCCCGAACTTGTTCCAATCACTTTATGCAAGCGCGTTGCAGAACTCAACGAGTTGAAGCTGCAGAGCATCCTTGTGCAAAAATCTTGGAAAGAGCTGCTGTGCGGCGAAACCTTGTTGTTGCCAATGTTCATTCCCAACGCCGCGTACACCACTTTCGTGCCTTGGAAGGTAAGCTGTAGGCATCTAGGCATCCCTAAGCGACCACCGCCACCACAAACAGCAAAGCTTACGTGTCCTAGCCTCTGGGCGCAGCTCGTTGTTGGTCCAGCTCGCGACGTCACATCAGAAGCTAAAGGCCCTCTGGCAGCAAAGGCTGAACTTCCCCAGCGCTCAAAGGCCTCAGTGTCATCCAGATCTTTGCTATCAAGGGCCCATTCACCAGTCATTCCTTAAGATTTCGAGTGTAGCGATTTGGGGCTGCGGCTAAGGTGTACTTGCCGAAGTTTGGGGCTTAGGGCCCACAGGTTTTGAGTGCAGAGGGTGTGCATGGCTACAGTGGTGTGAAGATCCTATGAACCATGTTGTGTACATGACACGGAGGCAGCATGAAGCGCATTTTGGGGGTGTGCGGAAATGTTGGTCTGGAGCTTCACTTGCATGGAAACTCAGCTCCCTCCAGATGACCATTGCAAAATCATCCCCGCTTCGTAGTGGCCCTCAGCGTTCCCCTATATAGTACTAGTTACTAGTAACTATAATCTACCATAACATACTATAATCTACTATAATATACTGTAGTATTAGTTCCCTACTGTACTCTAGTGGTTTCCATTTAGGAGGCAGAGGAGCTCCATCTGCTGGTGTTCGCGCTCGTGGTGGAGACACGCTTCACGGAACGCAGGCCTTTGCCAAGGGTTTGTTGAAGGGCTCTTGAAAAACATAATAAGGATCTCTATAGAGTCCCTATATCATAGGGTAACATGGGGTTATTTTGGAAACTACTATATTATAGGAAGGATCTTAACAGTTCTGCTGGGCAACAACGGGATCCTGGAAAAGTGTTCTTGGAGTGGATAATGTAGACCCCTAATTAATAAACCCCCTCCCCTTAATGGGGATTCTAGTGGAGATCCTAATGTTAGGGCCCTTGAAAGTAGGGGGTTTACTAATCAGGGGTCTACATTCACACCCCAGCTGATGTCTTTCATCGGAAGTATCAAGGTCTGCTGATGCAGAAGCTCATCCTACCGCGACACCCCAAATTTCAAAACTGCCAGAAATTTAGTCAACAGGGATAGAGGGGAGATTGAAGGAGCTCAGTGGCAATGACCCTTTTTCTAAGGAATACCTGAATCAGTCGTGGATGCCGGCTACCCCTTGCCCCAGGCGCCCTGGCCCTCAAAAATCTCTTCCTCCAAGTATAACCTCCACGTCGTGCCGTCATGCCTGTACGACCCTTTGACCCTATAGTCCTCCTTAAGTAGATAGAATATGGCTTTGGGTATAATTTAATAAGATCCCCATATACCCCACATTTTATCTACTTAAGTGGGGCTATATGTTATGGCGAGGTTTCTCGAGATGTGGTGCGCTTGGTTAAAGGGAGCGCGTACGATCTTTAGATGTTGGGGAGGATTCTTCCTCTGGTCCCCCTGAATGAACACCCCCACGCGCACACTCAACAGTATTCCCAAGGAACCCTTCCGAAAGCGCATAAAAAGCAGCCGAGGAGCCTGTCTTGAAGCTTCCTGATGTTGCACTGGTCCCGACACATTGACCGTTATTCAGGCAGTAAATCAGCGTTCTGAAGAGAAACAGTACGTATTGTCTAAGGATGACTAGGGCTGCTTAAGGCCAATTGTTACGGGAGAATTCTGGCCAAACTTCTCACGCGACTCCCGTCCTGAAATATGAATCCAGGTGTGGTAGCTCAGCACGCTGAAGCTCGGGCAGCTCGCTGTCACTTGCCCAGCGCGTCATTCCTAAGGCAACTGGCAAGACTTTCCCGAAAGCTTCTGCACTGGGGCAGTGCCTCATCCCTGAACCCATTTCGAGGAGATCTGTCCAGCACAACTTTCTCAAAAAGTACGAACAATAATAGTTCGTAATTATCATAGTATAGTAATAATAATACTTTGAATAGTAATAGTACTTAGTACACTAACTGTCGTACCGAGAAGAGCATTTTACTGTCAGCAGCTTGGTCAGCGGAACTCAGCTGAGAAAGGCGCCGCAACTAAAGCGGCATACTTCAGCTCCAACGACGATGTCCTTTGCTTTGCTCCACGCCAAGCCCGCGTTTCAGAGGCAACTTTGGCATTCCAACGAAACTGCTGTCCAGGGCACGGCAATGGAAAACTCATCGCCGGTCAAGAAGGCCGTTGTTTCGGCGATGTGCTGCTCCACTTTCCGAAGCCGCTCTAAATAGCCTGAAATGCCCACGCACTCTGCAATCCTAAAACCCGGCATCGTCACACTTGATAGTTGGCGTGCCTGTGTAGCTCTCAGTCATTGTGGCAATGTCTCGGTGTTCGGGCAGCGTGCGCGCTGTCTGGTCGATGAGATGATGGTTACCTGGCGTATGGGGAGGCTCGTCAAGGCTCCCTTCTCCTACCAATCTCCGTCTCGGCCAGCAGAAGCTTGTTTCATGAGCTGGCAGCAGGCTTACCTGTGAATTCATGAGCAGACAGCCAACGCCTGCGCGTAAGTTCCGGACATTCGTGAAAGTTGGAGAAGAGGAGCCAGTCCATCCAGGGTGAGCACTTGGCCAAGCCCTCAATGGAATTTAAGTGCAGCTCTGGCGAATATTTCCTGAGCGCTTGGGCGATCTACATGGATGGCACAAAATGGTCTTGTCATGCACCCCTGAAGTGGGCAGCACTACCCTAAATCTAAGCGCCTCAGGTGCCAAGGACCACCCTGCTTTGTTTCAACCCATGGGCTCAGAAGGTTCAGAGGGTTTCTCGCGCAAATCGACTTTGCTCCTTCTGAGACCTGCGAACCCTTGGTTGCGCTGTAACCATGCAGCTGCTGTCCCAAGGTCGTCCAAGAGTCTGCGCCAAGTAGCGAACAATGGAATGCGACTCCCAAACTGCCAGCTCGCCGTCTAGTAGACAGGGAATGGTACCTCGTGGGCCCAGACAATGCCACCACATGTCATCGACATTCCACAAAAAGTCCGGAATCCGTTCTTTCCGCTAATCTCTCAAGACCGCTGTGACTACAACAAATCGAGGCTGCCACGCATAGGATTCATTCGTACGTATTCATCCTGAGAAGGACAGCTCGGGTACTGCCCCCACTTATAACAGTCTATACATGGGGTCATATGAAGGGCTATAGGGCTATACATAATATATATATATATATGTAATTATGTTCTCAATATTCTCCAGCTGCTACAGGGTGGGGGCAGTACCTAATTGACAGCATCTTTTTGGGCCTCAAATGGGGACATTAAGATATGTTTGGGAATAATCTTGGCCATCCCCTCCCCTACTATCAACTCTACTAACACCCTTCAAAATTCCCTTGTAATTGTGAAAATGCTATGTTATCATAAATCTCCCCACATAGTTCCTATGTTCGCCCCCAAGGCACCTCTGAGCACCGTTTGGTAAGGATTTAAGGTTATAGGCCCCCTTAAGTAGATAGAATATGGGGTATATGATATACCCAAAGCCATATTCTATCTACTTGAGGGGGATTATAAGGTT